TGGAAATGGAGGGGGGTGGAGAGTCTTAGGTCTGGAAATAGGAGGTTGGAAAGTCTCATGTCTGGAAATGTGGGGCTGGAGAATCTCATGTCTGGAAATGGGGAGCTGGAAGGTCTCATGTCTGCAAATGGGGGGCTGGAGACCAGAAACACCCTCAGAAGGACAGGGAGTGAGTGAGACGTAGCATAGAGGGCTTCCAGGAACCCCTTCTATAGGGAAGGGGTGCCATGGGTGTCTGTTGGGGGAAGAGGAGGAAGAGGGGGTGCAATGGGGAGGGGAAGCCAGGGGAAACCCCCTACCCCACTTCCTCTCCCCCTCCCCCTCTCTTCCGATCTGGTTCCCAGGCAACCCAAACCTGCGTCATCATCAGAGACCCCGAAAGGAGGGGGGAATCCCAGGAACAAGGGGGGGAGGCCCATAGCCCAGCCTTGCCAGCCAAATAGGCATTGCCCTCCCTTGCCCATCAGGTGCCAATCCACCCACCCATCCCATTTGCTAGGCACTCACTCCACCAAGGTCAGGGAAGGGATCTTGAGCTTGGCGCGGCGGGTCTGCATGGCCCACGGATGAAGGGATGGAGGGAAGGAGGGATGGACGGATGGACGGATGGAGGGAGTGCCCGCTTTGCCCGCCTCCTGCTCAGTTCCTGCCCCCTTTGCCACCCAGAGGAGGAGGAGGAGGAGGAGAGAGGCACCCCCCTCCGGCAGATGCACCAGTGCCCACTGCCTGAGGGACCCTCAGAGGCTAACCTGGCACCAGGTAAAGTAGGGCCTCCGCAGGCAGAGGCAGTCTACTCCTAGAAGTGGGGTCAAGACCAGAGCTTTGGGAAATGCCTTTGGGGGGGCATAGGTGGTAGAACCCTCTTTGCTGTCCTGCCAGCTGAGAAGATTCTGAGAGTTCCACCCCCTCTCCAAAAAAGGGAACTTTCCCTAAATTCTGGACCAGAGGGAACCCTCTCTTCTTGGCTTGACAGTGGAGCTATTCATTCTTTCCATAATGGCCCCACTTGGTGGGATTTGGCTTCAGGATATGTGCAGAGAGCAAACATCCAAATCTCTCGGTGCCATTTTTGAACACACGGCCGGGTGGCTCAAAAGTGCCTCTGACCATGTGTAGAATCCCACCTGGCTTCCATCCCAACGTTCCCCACTACATGCTATGATGAGAGATGCAGTCCAGACACCTCTGGAGGACCGCATTTTCATGGAAACCTCCAGAGACCAGGCAGAACTGAGGCTGGGGAGAGCCCTCCACACATGCCCAGGGGAACTCTCCTTTAGTTGCAAGTAGATGTTTGAGATGCAGGTAAGAGAAGAGCAGCAGAATTAACATGGCAGAAACAAGATGGGGCCAAAGCGGGTCCAGATTTCAATTTCATTTCCTTAAAGAAACAACATCATCCCCACTACCATCACAACAACCATCATCCCCACCACCAACACAACAACAAACATGTTCAAATCCACGTTGACAACTCTGTCCCAAACAAGAAGCAGTCAAGCACTTCCATAACTTCTGTAACACAGAATTAAGGCCAGCTTCTTTTGCACTACAGCTCTCAGAATCCCCTGCCATTGAGTTCTCTTGCAGTACTGAGTTGTCAGGGTTTTTCAAGTGGGCTCATATGAAGTATTGCAGCTGGACAAACAAGGAATGCTCTGTTTCACACACGGAGAAAAAGAATTAATTTGGGCGGATTTGCTGCTATAGTAGAGCCTCCATGTTCAGGGATAGTCTAACCCTGGGATTGAAAGACAATGGATGTTGCCTTCTGTGCATGATGGGAAGCTGGACTACCCTGCAGGGCTGCTCTTTGGAATGTTCTGCAGATGAGGAGACCCCAAGAGGGCTGTCAGAGAGGGCTTGGTGGGTCTATCATAGTTGAGACAAAGAAATTGGATCTCGGGCACTGTTTTACTCCATTTGGTCTACAGGCATTTTAAAATTGGTTTTGATCTCTTTTTAAAGTAGGTTTTTGCCTGTTGCTTTGGGAGCCCCCAGTGGGCAGAATAACCATGAGCAAATACTCATAGAATAGTGGTTAAAGGAACCCAGGGGTCATCTAGCACAACCCCCTGCCAGTCCAGAAAGTTACAGCAACAACAAGACTAGGAAGGAAGGAAGGAAGGAAGGAAGGAAGGAAGGAAGGAAGACAGTTAGACAGTTGCATCAGAATAAAAATATGGGCTCACAGCCCATACTCACGTCTTCCCTCGGCGTGGCAAACTCAACTCTTTCTATGAACAGAAAAGAGAAAGAAGAGATGGTCAGTATGTGGCCAAAGCCACAAGATCTCACAATGGTCAGACAAAGATCATGGGACAGTGGTTTCAAAGCTGGACGTGGAGAACAGGATTCAAATCCCTGCTTGGCCCTATTATGTGACCTTGGACAAGTCACACTCTCTCAGCCACTGGGGAAGGCTATGGCAAGCTTGCTCTGAACAAGTCTAGCCAATTATATCTTATAAATCGGTATCAACTTAAAGGCACAAAATAAAGCCAGCCTAGTCTAGTGGTTTGAGTGCTGGACTAGGACTCTAGAGACCAGGTTTCGAATCCTGGCTCGGCCATAGAAACCCACTGGGTGACCTTGGGCAAGTCACACTGTCTCAGACACAGAGGATGGCAATGGCAAACCCCCTCTGAACAAAACTAGCCAGCTCCAAGAAAACCCTGTGATAGGTTCGTTGTAGAGTCTCCATAAGTTGGAAATGGCTTGAAGGTACACAACAACAACAACACACACACCTTGACTGGACCCAGTACTCCAGATTTATATCCAAGTAGAAAATGACTGAGCTGAGGAGGAAAGCTCTCTGCTTATGCTCAGAAGCATTCTCGTTGGTTATGATTTTTAAAGGGGTTCAAGGGCTGAGATGGATTCAGATGGTAGCAGCCCACTTTTGTGCCCACCGTACATACCGGGAGGGTGGTGGGATAGAGAAGGAGGGGAAATTACAACACCCAGAATTCCCCAGCCCTTGGCCATGCTGCCTCAGGGGATTCTGGTGGTTGCAGTCCAAAAACACGAGGCAGCTATTTGGTGCTGCATCAGTTTGAATGAGAGGGAGGCACGGCACGGCAGAAATCTTTTTTAAGGGAGGAAAAGTGTCTGAATAACTTTTGCAAAAGGCTTAATGGAATTAACTATTCAGCTGGTAAGAGTAGGTCATGCGCTCGGCCTCGTTCTGATGTTAACAGAGGGCGGAACAATCAAATTTAATCAATGGGGGCTTTTCCTGAGAGACGCTTCACTTCAAACATCTGCCTGATGGGATCATGAAGCTCTTATGTCACTCTCTTGACTGTGTAAAGAATTATCATTCTCCTCCTCCTCTTCTCTTCTCTTCCCACTCTTTTTTCTGCCTTTTTCTGCACTGCACGGCACTGCTATTCATGCAAATATTCTCCATAAAAACAACATTTGAAAGAACACACAGATGAATGGACAGAGGGTTGGACTACATGGCCTTTAGGGTTCCCTCCAAATCTAGGATCCTACGAACGAGTGAAGGGATTTAAAACAGTAGATTCCAGCTATTCTGCAAAAGCCATGAGAAATCTGCCAAGCTTTAGGGTGCCCCAAGGAGAGAAGCATCACTGTTTCTGTTCCAATGGGCACCTCTTGAACTCAGCTCCCAACTGAATCCGTTGTTGTAAGTACCATTGGGCTAGTGGCCTGCTTTCCAGAAGTTTGCACAAGGACTATGGTATCCATGGGGGTTCTGGAACCCTAGTAAATACCAAGGGCCAATTGTATTATTATTATTATTATTATTATTACTACTACTACTACTACTA